GTAGCCTTCTGCAACATCTTCCACTGTTTCATCTCCTTCTATCTCATCCTGTGAGAACACAAAGCCTTCTGCCACCCACTGCTGAACTAACTTTTTAGTTGGTATATCAAAATCTTCAGGGAACTGACTCAAATAGAGGAAGCATGGTTTCAATTGGTAAGGCAATTCATGGTAACTTAACGCCAATACCTCAGATAATCTTGCTTGTTCATGGCCTTTAGTTCTGGACAAATATGACCTGATATTTCTGTTCACCATGTCCCACTCACTCAATGTTTCTTTTGTTGCCAAAAGCCCTCCAAGCACAACAATGGCCAGTGGTAAACCTGCACAGCTTCCAACCATTTCTCTCCCTACCTTTTCCTTATCTTTGTTGATTCCGAAGTCTACAAAGAATGAAAGGAACCTTTAATAATAAAAAAATAACTATTTCTACATTTAAAACAGAAAGCATATTGTCAACCAGTAATCATTCATTCCTTAGGACTGTGTGCTTCAAGAAGGTTAAACAACCAAGAGCACTTTATTTTGAGCTATATGACACTGTGATTGACACCTCTAGATTCATAAAACCTATATCTATATAGAACATGTCAACAACACAAAAACTTAATTTTCATTGTCACAGACATGTGCTTAAGGCTCCTAATATCCAATTCATGTAATACCATGCCCTGTTACAACCAATGGGCTAAGTGTTAAGATCTTGGTAAATTAGATTGCATATTCCAGTTTATGTAGTCTGCAACATAGATAAACAAAATTAGACCTGGAGATTATAGAGCATATGATGATAATTGTTTACCTGAATCGCTTCTCCTTGGAAATGCTTTCCTTTGGAATAACTCCCAACTCTTTTCTTCATTCAAACAGTCTGGTTCATGAACAAATCCCTCTTGGTCAGCAATCAAAGCCACTTCTTTGTTGCGTGTTGTAAGCAGTACTTTGCTACCAGAAGCAGTTTCATTCGGAAAAGCAGCACTAAGAGTTGACCATGCCTCGGTGCTCCAAATATCATCAATAACAATCAAACACTTCTTTTCTTTCTGAACTTTAAAAAGCTTCTTTGCCAAATCTTCATCTCTCATTCTTAAAATTTCCTCCCTCTCCTCTCTGGATGGGATGATAAGTTTCAGCAAAATCCCCTCCCAAACATCTCTTCTTTTGCACTGCTGTGACACATATGCCCAAGCAAACCCTTCAAAGTGTCTCCTTATATCACCATGATGGTAAACAGCTTTTGCCATGGTGGTCTTTCCCAGACCACCCATACCACAGATAGACACAACTTTGTATTTCTCTTCATTCACCAGCTGTGCTATCAGTTGCCTTATATCTTCATCAAACCCGACAATATACTCTTCAACAACATGGGAATAAGACCACCTGAGCTGCCTCTGCCTCTCGGATGCTAAGCTAGTTCCTTCTCCTTCTTTTCTTGCAGTTATTCCATAAGTTTGTAAGCTTCTGGTGAGATCAATTATTCGAGATTTAATCTCATCAATTTTTGAAGCAAGGTTGTGAAGTGCTATGCCTTTGGTGATGGGATTATGGATTCTTCTTCCATTCCGTGGTGCAAATTTAAGCACAAAACTGTCAATAACATCCTCAATGTCATAAGCAGCATCTCTTATCTCTGAAACCCAATTCCGAACGCTGTCATCCTCATCTTTCCTCTTGTCAGCATCTTTTAGAAAGCACTGTATCCGTTTTAGCTCGGTTTGCATCTGTTGGACCTGATCCCGTACACTCCATAACAGTGTGGTTTCATCAATCAAGAGGTTACCCAACCTCTCCACAAGAAAGGATACCACAGCATCAGCCATTAAATATGCCTTTGCTTCTTGACTGAAGACAGACAGGTACAAGCTAACAAAATAGCAAAAGCCCTCTTATTTT